AACCGACCCCTGGGGTACACCACTGGTGATTTGTAGCCTAAAGATTAAAAATTACAATGGTTTACGCTAAACCAAATTATTCTTCTAATGAGTAAGTACTTACTGGAATTAATAAGGCAAAATTAGACAACAGACCACTAGAATACAATTAAATTAGTGGTATCTGAAACTAAGGTGGAGAGTTGTGCATATTTCCTCAGTCAGACTAAACATATAGCAGACAAGCTCTTGTTTACAAACAACACATTCTTTGTAGAGTCTGTAAAGCAGCAAGTTCAGCGTTCTCTTGGCCTGAACACTGCACAGTAGCCATTTCCATCCTGCAGCACTCTAACACAGCCAGTTAAAATACAAAACCCACCATTATGCTGGAATTCTGGATCCTTCAGAGTCCCTTGAATACGCCGAGAGGGACTCCAGCAAGGCATAGAGGAGCTTTTGGCTGACTTCAAAACAGGAGGTGTAGAGAAATGCTCTTGATGGGCTGAAGCAACAGGAACTTGCTCATCAGAAACACTGTTAGGAGGCTGCTGATCCTGCCTGAGCGGCAGAGGATCCAAAGTTCCCAGCCCAGCAGGTGGAGAGGTAAGGAGTGAAACAGCTTGCACTTCCACATCAGGCTAAAACACAGCAGGAAAAAAAAAAAAAAAAGACACACACAAAAAAAAAATAAGAAAAAAAAAAAAAAAAAACACAAAACCCCAACATCTTATATACAGCCTTCCAGTACAGATCTTCACATATGCAGCAAGCATTAGCTTTACACTGTTACACTTCTCATGAGGGTACTGGGAGAAGAAGTATTTCAAGCTTGTGAGACAGCTTAAAGAAAATATATTCCTAATAACAAGTGTTTAACATGGTCTAAAAGTAATCTAGTCAGGTCAAACCAAAAGCTTTTATTCTTCACAGCAAAAAACTGATCTTTGACTTTAAACTGCCACAATCAACCCCTCATGTAAGTGCTTCTATTACAGAGGACGCATATAGTGAAAGGCTAGCTGTCTTTGTAGAACCCAGACTAAGCCTATCTTGACAAAAAAAAAAAAACCACAATTTTGAGAGGAGGACAGTTAAACTCCTAAATTTTTCTATTTTTCTTCTAGTGACTGTGCAAGCTGCAAAGTAAAAGAAGCACAAAAGTAAAGGAAAGGGAGAATGAAACTAACATGGCACATTTACCTGTCTTGTGCACAGGCACCCAACCTCTCCTTAAACTTCTTTCAAGTCAAGGAAACTGGAGCTGTGCCCTACGTCAGTGGCAAGCTACAGTAACATTAATGGCGAGGAAATCAACAGCTCCTAACAGCAGCTTTTAAAAACAAAACAAAACAAAAAAAAATCCTGTGCATTTAGCAGAAAAAGTCAAAATGCACCTCATCCAGTCTCACTCCAGTAGTCTCAACTACTTTGTTTGATACTCCAAAAAAAAGGTTTATTCAGACATCAGCCTTTTTTAGTCACAGATGCTGAAAATCTTAGAATAGTAAATAACAACACAAGAAAAATAATTTTTATCCACAATTGCTTAAAAAGCACATTCCTAAAATGCAGAACGACAAGCCTCTTTTCTGGCTCACCCTGAAGGACCTTCTTTTTGAAGCTTCTCTTGCACCTTGATTAGCTGAAGAAGGGTCCATTCCTAAACCTTGTGTTCTCTGCTGTGAAGATGAAGACTTGAATTTAGGAGGAGACACTAGAACCGCACCTCCTGTTGTAGTGGAGAAGATGAAAAATGCTTTATCACCTTAAATAACCTACTAAATTAATTCATACATGTCTTTTTTTTCTTTAGTTCTTGAAATACTGTTTTGCATTTAAAAGTTTTTACCAACAGCTGGGGTAGTGAGATCATGATGAGTCCTCTGAGCTCCACCAAGCACTCTCAGCTTCGGAGTAGGAAGCCTGCCACCTGCCCTCGAGGATACAGAAGAAGAATCTGACACAGATGCAGAAGAATTCAATACTAAGGCATTCTCACTGCAAAAAATGAGAAGTGATTAAAGGATTAGCTAAGGACTCAAGAGTCTGGCACTCAAGCTTTTTGTTTCTAATACATTACTACAATGAAGCATAAGGCAAGACAGTTAGGGCCATAAAACACCAACAGCCTGTAGCAAAAATATCTGCTTGCAATGGGGAGTCCTGGATTCTATCCCCAGAGCCCCAGTTTCTGTATTTTATTTTTTTTTATGTAACTGGATAAAATACATAAACAGTCTCAAGCTGCAAATTCAGGCTCCCTGTATCCCAATAAACCTTGAATGTATCGTTGCACTGCAGCAGAGATTCAACAGGAGGGCTGTAAAGAGTACTGACCCAGAAAAACTTTGAACCTGGTTGCCACGTTAGAGGTGGGAATGTGGGTTTGACTCTTTTCAGTCAATGTGGTGGAACTGAAACCAAGTATTCCACATTTACGTAACTACACTAGCCCCCAGGTTATTAAATAAATCAGCACTACCACTTCTGCCTTCTTCCTCCAGATGCCTTTCAAAAGGAGGTGGCATACCCAGACTGTGCAAGGAACCTGATCCTATCCACACACGCTGAATGGTCATCTAGGCAAAGAATGCCTCCTCTCTAGCTCTCAAGCAGGCTTAGCTAACAGGCAAACATTAAGCTGTTCTGCATGGACAAATCCAGAGCAGATCTCAGCACACATACAGTCACGCTGCAGAATGACAGAAAATCTTCAATGTCAGAGACACATCTACAACCTACATAATCTCAAGAATTAGACAGAAACTTAAGAAGGTTTTCAGGATGATAGTTTTGAAAGCCTGCATTTAATTTCTATTTGAGTCTAGCATCTCAACCTTTCTTTGTCTGGGTTTTGCATATAGGATATTATCCCTAAAGGAGACAACTGCAATTCCTTACCTTAGATTCATGCTGCAATACCAAAGATAAAACCCAATGAGGAATACAAAATGGTATGGTAACAAGGGCCAAAGTAATTCAGATTTCAATATCTATCAAAATAAAATATTATTCTACCAAAAAAGATATTCAAAACTTATACAGTAAAAAGCCAGAGGCTTCTGTAACTAGATATAATTTGCATCTTTCAACTGTCAAATACAGCTCTATGCTCTATGTACAATACACATACTGAATTGATCTCTCATTATTTCTAAACACCTTTTCCCCACCTATGCTCAGTAACATAATCATCAGTGATTACGGGTTGCTAGCTATTTTTTTCTCACAAGTCTTTTATCTCTGCCCAGGAATTTTTTTAAGGAAAACAGATGCATAAGCACAAGTTTAGCATGTATTCTATCCTTTCAGTCCTATCAATCCTACACTGTACATTTGAAGCAAATTGTAAACTTTAATTTTCACTACATTCAGCTGCTGTATAATGAACAGTCTATTCTGAGAGGCCTACACTGCAAATTTTAAAGTTTTAGAAAAAAATGTTAGAATTGTTCATGCTTCTACAAACTTCTGTCTTGCAAGTTAGAAATCTAGTATTCTTGGTGATAGATCCTTTTCCATCAACCAGCTCAATGTCTTGCACTTTCTAATTCCTTATTAAACTGTTAAAAAAAAAACAGTGTCACACCAACTTATACTCTCTTAAGTAAATCTGATTTTTTAAAAAAATTAGTTAATCTACATATTTCTGAGATGGCAGAGGAAAAATTCATATATATACACCACAAAAATGTTCAGTTTTACCCTTCAATTTTCTTATCTTCATTGGCATCTTTATTGTTTTCTTTTAACTGCTGAGCCATGACTGAAGCCTGTTCATCTTGTTTTTCTTCCTCTTCTACTGACTGGCAGTTCTCCCTTTCTTCAGTACCTTCTTGCTCACCCCAAACTAAACGCCTTTTGACTGGAACAGTTAAAGCACTTGATATGTCTTTCTTCTCAGTGCTGTCCTGGTGTGGCTGTTCTCTGGAGTCAGGTTGCTGCAGCATTTTGGGGCTCAGTGCCATCTCCTTTTCAGAAATGCTAGGTAACAAACAAAGCAGTGTTTCATACCACTGATTTGCGGGATACACACATATCTATGTAGAACACATTCATCCAGTTCAGTCCTTTGCCAAAAGTACAGTTCAGACACTAAAAAGTGCTACAGTTGACATGATGAAGGTCAAAATTCCACTTTAGTTTTAACTGATGTTTAAGCCCAATACATTTTCAAACTAGATTCTCTTTCTGGATTACTATTTACAAAAATTGAATGTAAAACTAGTGCTCTATTTCCAATTTAAATAACAAGTTCAGTTATCAGAAGTGCTCAAAAAATAAGTAGATCCATGAAGAGAGACTGTCTGAGGGCACAATTTTGAACGTCAAGCAGTTTAGAAGACTCCTCGTTAGGCACAACTTTTCAAAGTCTTAAACTCTCAACTGCTCACAGAAATCAGTGCAAATTAGCCCACTGCACAGAAATTAGATCAGTAAGAGAATCTGTATTTCACAGGTAAAAATCAAACTAGTAAACCAAAAAAATTTACACCATGCTTAATATCACACGTTAAAGTGTAATAAATATTCTTTTGTCATCCCCCAACCCTTATTAGAGCTACAGTGATGCAAATGGTAGACCTCTCCCACACACACTAGTGCACATACAGCAGTCTAAGAGGACTGCAGACAGAGGTACCCAAGGCACTGTTTCTAAATATCAAATCTCAGAGAAGACACAAATGGCATTTTTTTTTCCTCCTTGCTTCAGCAATAGCTGCCTGTAATTTTACTAAAATAATAATTCTGAACTCTGCTAGCAAGGGATTTAATATCTGCCAATTCTGATGACCTTCAAAGAAAGGAGAAAATGTATGTACACCATTCCAGTTTCTAAGTTTTCATCTCAGAACTAAACAATGTCTAAGACTCAACCACAAGATTCATTAATCCTGACGAACACTGACAACATCTGAGTAGGCAAAACATAATTCATATCACTCCAGTGGAAAAAAGAATATTACTTCAGTATGACTCAGTGCAAAATTACTCCAGACTCAATGAGACTAAGGTTGCCACACTAAATATGCATTTGTGGAGAATTATAAAGGAGTAACTTTCTCTTCTTTCAGAAGACTGGACTGTGCCTCATTTTCAATTTGAGCACAGATCAACTGATGGATCTTTGAAAAAGTAAACGCCCTCATCTGTTCTAGAGAATTTACATATAACAGAATCATGGAACAGCCTAGGCTGGAAGGGTCTTTGAAAGATCTTGTCCAACATTTCTTGCGAAAAGGGCACCTAGATGAGATTATCTAGCACCCTGTCCAATCGCATCTTGAACACAGACCTCACAACTATGCTAAGCCTATATTCAGCAATTTGCTGTGTTTCGAAGCTACAGAGTAACAGGAAGGAATGACGACCTTACCCAGCAAGATCTAGTGCTTTGATGTTGTTGCTGATGCCTTCTTCCAAACTGGAATTGGAAGACACATCCCAAAGACTGTTATTATCAGACAGGATCTGATTGAGATGATTTCGGGAGAAGTGTGTTCCCTCTACTCGTTGCCTGTAAGCCTTTGCTCTTTCTCGAAGTTCTCTCACCTGCACATCAAGGTTTCATAAGTTGCATGTCTGTTTAAAGTTCACTAATTAGATACAATATTATAGTGTATTTGCATTAGCTAATGGCAGCTAATGGAGAAAGGCAACTAATTCATAATATAGGGCCACCCACAGCACAAACATCGCATGCTGCAGTAAATGCAATGAAAAGAAAGCAAAAATAACAAAAGTGTATATTTAGTAAGCATGTTTGAACCATGTAGCCAAAGCAAAACTGACAATTATTCATTCAATGGCACAAAAAGTTATGCAACAACTATCAATAAGTTTAGTGCTAGATTCTAGTTTTTCCATCAGTGCTCAGATATAGTGCTAAAAATATTGAAACAGGAACTTAGATGCAACCAACCTCCATATACCACATGGAATTTAGGGTGTTTTGAGATGCCTAAGGAGAGGAATACAGAATAATTTTTAAATTTCTTATTTTTCTCACAACACTTATTGTTATTATCACCCTTGTAACTTTATTTCAGTCTAAGTAAGAAATTAAATACTGAAAACCTGTCAACATAGCTCTATGCTGCCTCCCTGAGATTCAGTAAAAAGCTGTAAAACAAATACATCATCACTAGTATTTCACCAGTTTTTGCTAACCTTGAGGAAATTAATTTAGATGGCTAAGCCTTAACACTCAAAAATACACTCAGTACACAGTGATTTATGGTTATTTCAGGTCAATAGATCTATGTGCATGTGTAACACTGAGCTTGTATGCTGTGACCACTGCAATTGTCTCTAGCTACGTTAATCTTATCTCAGTGAGGAGCTGATGATTACAGAACTCCTGATGCCATTGTATGTAAGACATAATACCAAAATCATTCCTTCTAGGCTATCAGTAACTGTTAAGAATGAGATGTCGGGTTTAGGCTCAAAAAAGTGATAAGCCCTCTCTTTAGACACTATACTGCTGAATTTACACTATCGTTTTTATGGTTAAAACTATTTCAGCACCCACACCGTCTTGTGTCCTTCAGCCAAACACAATTATAGAGCAGGAAGAAAAGGCAACAACAAAACTTCTATGATTAAATGATCAAAAATAACTTCGAGATACTGTTGCGTGAATTCTGGCTCACTAAAAAAAATGGTTCACAGGAAATAAGTATTTTGTCAAAGACCAGGAAGGTAATACTGACACTTCCTCTAGCACATTTTCGTAGCTTTTCTTATTTATTCTTCTTTCATGCTAGACTTCGCATCGTTCTTCCTGAAAGGAACAGAGTTAAGTGGGACAAATTCCGCTAAGCCCACTAAAAGTAACCGTATGCAGCAGATGGAAATCCTCTTAGACCACACCAGCTATTGTACCACAATTTGACCCACTAAACTTCCAAAGAATAGCCCATTAAAATATATATACTTGTCATTTTAAGAGGAGAGTTTAAAGTTTGAGGTGCAAGTGATCTACTGGATTATTCACTTTAAGTAGCAGAATGAAAAATCAATTATGATAGCCACAACAGAAAGAATATAAATGCAGAGCATCAGGACACTCCAGGGGGAGGAAGAATACTACGTCTCCAGTGAATTGTGAAGAAGTACAAAGGACAACCAGCTCCTTCAGTGACTCATCGGGCAGCATTATCTCAGCAGGACACAGGCCACAGAGAGTCCTACTGTGATTATGAATTGCCTGCACTAATTTTTCAAAAGCATAATTCAAAGAGATTTTTTCATTCGACTGCTGAAAAGCAAGCCTTAATAATGTATTGTAGAGCAGCAGCCTAGGAGTAATCACTACAGCTAAGGTCATACCAGGATTCTATTACAGTCCTTGCCTGTTTGGGCTCAGAACTTCAGAAAGTCTGCTTTGGACCCACAGTTACCCATGTGTGGCCCCAACTAAGGGAGAAACAAGACTCAGTCAGGGCTTACAATCTAATCACTTATGCAAAAGATGTTCTGTAGACACCTTCAGCAGGGGTGAGTCTCAATAACTCATCAGAGGCAGAGGTTAGATACAGCTTTGAAGAAACATTTCTCTTTGTGTCAGTGCATTAGTATGGGAACAGGTATGGAATCACGTAGACACCAAAAGGACTGTTGGACAGCCTATATTTTGAATGGTCAAAATACCTTTGTTGCTTTAGAATAAAACTGCATAAAACTGATGCACTTGGCACTTTTTCCAAGTTACGCATACTTTCATTAATCTGCATATTTGTCAAATGGCTAGGTTCTTTCTTATGTCTCAACCATGAATGAAAACTTCTACTCAGTCCTACTATTTTAGCCACACTGGATCCCATCCTGTAGTTCTTAGAATAAAAACACTGATGGACGGGGGGAGAAAAAAAAAAAAAAGCCTGGCCAACACAAGAATAAAAATCAGAATTTTAATTCTTGTATTAACAGAGGTTTTAAGAATTAACTTTGGTTTTCTTCTAACCAGTCCTGAAGACTGGAAAATTCTAAGCTTTAATATGCTCTTTGTTTTCACTGCACCCACAAAAAACTTATTTTTGAAGAGTTATAACCCTCAACAATATATATGAAAATATTAACAGGACAATACACAAGAATAAAAATCAGAATTTTAATTCTTGTATTAACAGAGGTTTTAAGAATTAACTTTGGTTTTCTTCTAACCAGTCCTGAAGACTGGAAAATTCTAAGCTTTAATATGCTCTTTGTTTTCACTGCACCCACAAAAAACTTATTTTTGAAGAGTTATAACCCTCAACAATATATATGAAAATATTAACAGGACAATAGCAAATTTTAAAAATTCTCTATAGAAAAAATCCTACACAGTATCACATTTACACAAGCTAAATATTATTCTTTGTCTAGTAGCAAAACTTTTGATATGCTGTACTGCCTTTGGCCGGGATAAAGTTAAATTTCTTCAGAGCAGCTTGTATGGGGCTATGTTTCAGATTTGTGGTGAAAACAGTGTTGATAACACCGGGTTGTTTTCGTCACTGTTGAGCAGTGCTTACACATAACCAAGGTCTTTTCTGCTTCTCACACCACCCCAACAGTGAGTAGGCTGGGGGTGCAAAAGAAGCTGGAACGGGACACAGCCAGGATAGCTGACCCCAACTGACCAAAGAGATAGTCCATACCATATGATGTCACGCTCAGCATACAAAGCTGGGGGAAGAAGGAGAAACTGGGGGGGGGTACATCTGGAGTGATGGTGTTTTGTCTTCCCAAATAACCGTTACACATAATGGAGCCCTGCTTTCCTGGAGATGGTTGAACACCTGCCTGCTGATGGGAAGTAGTGAATTAATTCCTCGTTTTGCTTTGCTTGTACACACGGCTTTTGCTTTAAACTGTCCTTATCCCAGCTCACAAGTTTTCTCACTTTTACCCTTCTTTTACCCCCATCCCACTGGAGAGTGACTGAGCAGCCATGTAGCACTTACTTGCTGGCAGGGGTTAAACCACGACACATGCTCACAGGCATGTGATCTAAAGTTTAATAGAGAGAGGAGAAATTCAGGTAATTCCAGTTATAAAGGTCTCTTCTACATGAACTCATACTAGAATCTAACGTAGGTGTGCATACACAAAAATGTGTATGTAACCTAAGCATATTTATAATCAATAAAACATTCGTTATTATAGTCTTGAAATGAATTTGGCTCTTCCAGCTACCCAGCACACCTTCTTAATATAGAAGGCCCTAAAAATCCTAAAAATTATTTTCTGTATTCTTCATGCCTACTCCCAAGTGACTTCTTTCTAATTTCCTCTGCAATTCCCTTGTCAGCAAGAAAATCTCCACGGAAAAGCCAGACACATATAAAATATATATATACTGTACAGGAATTTCTTGGTTTCTCATATGCTTTAATTAAATGCTGCATTTACTTGCTTCCTACATCTCTCAAACACGACTCAAAACAGAGCCTGCCTGGTAAAGCAGAACACCCATCCTGCACTTGCAGTATCTTCATATAAAGAAGAAAAATATTGCTTCTTTTTAGTCTTCTAATATCCTCATGAGGCTGTTTTCACAGACTGGATTATCTCATGCTTGCATAAAAAAATCTGATTATGAATTAACTCAAACTACAATATATTTTAAACTTTGAGATGCAGTTCTCATTCAGTATGTCATACATATTCAATAGATACTTCTTTTTGCCTAAAAGGAGAAATAAAATTACTTGCTAGATCAAGTCCAGTGAGAAAACTAGTGCTACCACACTACTCCTGCAATTCCCAGAGAATGTTATTTATTTCCAAAAATCTCAAAGCCCAAAACCCTAGAGCCATGCGCTCCAGTTCTATCTTCCACAACAGCTTGGTGCCAACTGATGAGGAAACCCATATTTCCAAGTACTTGACACATATTTAGCAACACACAGTGTCTCGTGAAGGCTCCCTGTATCAGCTCAGAGAAGCCTAAGTCACTTCAGTGAATCTGACGCTTGCGGAACTACCTCTAGCAGTTTCTTAGTACACGGCTAACAGTTTTAATTTATTTGACTAATTCAGGAAACCATACTCAATACTCCTGCTCAGAAATCCTATGGTCCTGAAGCATTTTCAGAGTTTTGTCAAATGAGTTCCTATACAGTATAATACTGATCACTGTTACAGAACAAATTACATGAAAATACTTAGATTGGCTGAAACTTCCAAGAGAAACTCTTAATTTGTGTTATGACTGAATTCATCTGACTACTTTGAATGGATTCAGCATGGCAAGCTAATAAACTGATCTTGACTATCAAGCTGACCTAGACTAATACATATGTTGGCCTTTCCCTTTTATTTCCTTGGAATCTCCTGTCACCTAATTCTACATTTTGAAAACTTACTGTTGTGGTTTTCTGTGGTGGGTTTGTCTGGCAGCAGGGAGGGGCCATAGTAACGGCTCCTGTAAGCAGCTGCTAAAAGTTTCCCTGGACTCCAGCCCTGCTGGCAGCAAGGGAGGGGCTGCAGTGGTGGCTCCTGTAAGTGACTGCTAAGGGTTCCCCCCCACCCCCCCCCGGCTCCAAGGGTTTAGTAACAGGGGGGGCGGGGGAGGAGTGGAAGGGGTACCACCGATCTAGCCCCGAGAAACGACTGGAAGTTTCGCCAGCTTCAGGGCTGCCAGTTTCCCCAGGCCAGGGCTGAGACACTCGGTGCCTCTGCAAATAACATATTGAAG